ATATTGGCTTCTTTTGCATTTTTGAAATAAATTTTTAAACTTCAAATGCTGTAAATAACACTGTACTGATGCAGCAAAATTTGCTGCTTTATTTGGAAGAATCAGAAGCTCACAATAATGAGTGAGTCCATAATGGCTTTCAAGCCAGGATCAGACAGCTGGTTTAAAATGGCAGCATTCCTTTGAAGGGCCAGGATCAGTGCAGGAATTATGCTGTCTGTGTACAGAAATGGAATAGCTCCAAACAACTGGTTCTTGGACAAAACCCTGATTGTCCTGTTGAGGAACACAGTGAAGCCAGTTGAAGCCCTCTCAATTGTTGCTCTTTGTGGAACTGTGCTGACACTTGCAGGTACAGCAGCATTCATTATACTGGGCATCCAGTCCTGCCAGAAAGCTGATCCATTGTTTGCACCATCATATGGTGAGTAATCAAATACACCTGGAAGAAATGTGAATCCATCAGTTTGCATGAGGAAAATATACTGAATGAGTATATATATAGTTCACCATCACTGGAATAAACTACTATATATTTTTACAAAATGGATTGTCCAGAATTATAAGAAATGACTCATCTCATTGAAATTAATTATTAAAAAATAAGATTTCTTGAAAAAAATATGCATGAATTTCAGCAAGTTTTGAACTTCAATTTTGAAATTAATTTCAAAGGCAAGTTGAAAACTGAAAGGTGATCTTTTTGCCTTCAGTGTGTATATAGCTTCCATGTGATGCATGGTGATGAGTATATCAGGAAGTTGAAGGCTTGAAATTGACAGAATTACCTTTTGCATTCATTTACCATAATCATTTGCTGAAAAGACTCTTGCCAAAATCTTAGAGGACCAGCATAAGAAGATCTGTTAACCTTATATGATTTATCATCAAAGGTTCTCTCCAAATTGTCCAATCAACTAAACCTTATATCATGGGAGCAGGCTGAACACCTTGAGCTTTAATCTGGGTTCAGTAATTGCCTCATGCTGCAATTCTCATTTAAGATATTCTGATTTTGTTATCAGGGAAGGAAAGAAAGTGCATGTATTTGTACCAGTTGTGCAATTGTACATTTTGGGATGTACAGTACTTTCTTTTCATGTAAGGCTTAATTCTCTGTTTTCCATTCTGCTGTGATGGAATTTTTTTGTATGAGATGCAAAAGGGAGGGGTTTGTATGTGGGAATGTAGCTTGAACCATACAAATGCTGTGAAAAGCAGAAAATAAAGCTTGCTGTTCAATTCAAATTTGCTGTAAGACCCAGTATTTTGTTTTATCTTGTCAAGACTTATACTGTGTCTGTCTGGATCAGATTAAACATTCTTTCTATACTAGAAAAACACGTGTATGCAGCATATGTGTAGGATGTCCAGTTTTATTTTATTTTGTGGAGTGTGTTCTCTTTTGTTTTTGTCATTGGTTTGTGCTTTGTTTCATGCTTTGAAGTGATTGAATGTCTTTGGGGGGAGTTGGGTTGGGTGGGGAGGGGGTTTGGATGCGGGAGTCTTGGTTGTGCCTTGTGAACGCTGAAAAGCGGCAAATAAAGTTTTCTGTTCATTCATTCATTCATACTATAGAACAAAAGAAAAGTTATGTTTTTCATTACATAAAACTTGTTCCTGTGGAATGGCTTGATACTGTCTCATCATTGTGCCCTGAATAAGAAGAAGAAGGATCTTCACTCAACTTTCTTTATAAAATACAACTTAAAATGAAGCATCAAAATATATACTCTCAGGCAGAATCCAGAAAGTGTTTTCCAATGTATATTAACCTTCTTGAATCACAGAGTCTCTGAAGGCAGCCACCAACACAGCAAGGGTGGTCATATTGTTGTCAGCCCCCTGGGCAACAGTTTTGAAGCTTGCACGGATCAAAGGAGTCACTGTGTGAACATACCAAACATGATCTTTTGCCAGTCTTATCGAATTCATGATGTGGAACTTGTCAGCCATCCCTTTTCTGCAAGAACAATTTCAAGGCATGATACAGCAAATGCCCTCTTTTTTTGACAAAACCATCATTCACATCTAAATGGCAGATTATGATATCTTTTATATGTTGCATGATGCTGACACATGGGCATATTATTCATGAACAGCATCAGACTTCAATATTGTAAACAAAATTAATTTTAAAAAGCATGAAATTTGAACTTACCTGCAAACCATAATTTAATTGGGTTAAATACTGTATGTATATATGACTTAGCTCATATAATTATGAGAAAAAGGAAATTATCTTTAAAAAAAACCAGAGGAATTTTCCATTTTAAAATACAAAAGCATGCAAGTGATGATAATAACAATGACATAATAGTATATGAATTGATTATAATACTATAAACTACAATATTATTATTTGCTTTTTGATAATAAAACAATAATAATAAATCAATAATTAAAATAAATTAATGAGTATATACATATTTCATATGAGGGATGAATAAGAAAAAATGTACTGTACTGTATATAAAAATAATTTTTAGAAATCATGATGAATGCCATCAACTAAAATGTTGAAAAAGTACTATATTATAATGATGACATTTTGAGAATTTCTAAGTAAAATATACTGTGCTACACACTGCTTTGAAAACTTGAGAAAATTCACAGTTAATTGTGATACCACATTGATATGATTCATTTCCAAAAATAATGATACATTTGACAATATAATGGATCATTGGTAATGATGATCAAATCACAATAATACCAATGATAAATTGAGATGATTAAATTTAGTGATGGTGAAAATTATATAGTGATGAGAAATAAAATTTTAATCTTGAAGCCTTGATGACTCACTTTGTTGCAGTTTTTGAAGGAGAGAAATACCCAGTGACAAAAGGTTCTAGCTCATCAAACACAGTTTTAATTCTTGGGTCATTCAGCATGACTCTGGATGGCAGAGAGTCCACAAAAGAAAAGGCAATCAAGTTCAGGAGTTCAGTTTTTGTAGCCAGGATGTCATATTCACTGGGAACCTTTCCAGTCATCTTTTGATAGACAGACAGAATGGTGGTGATTTCAGTTTTAGTCTGCTTTCCCAAACTGCATCTGCTTTCATCCCACAAAGCAGGATAGTCTAAAGACCTTTCATACAACCGCCTGAAAAAGATTTACAGTACAATGAAAAATGATACTATAATGTAGGTAAAATACATACCCTAAATGCAACTATGCCAGAAGTTTCTTCACTCAAACTGATTGGAAATTTCTACAAATGTTAATCACTCAATATGAGTTATATGCATCAACAATAATATCCTGAATGATGAAGCATACATAATTTTTCAGTATATGAGATTATTGGAGCCAATCACCCTATTGCATATTTTTTCACTCAATTTTTGATTAATATTTTACTGGATTTGAGCTACAATACACAAATTGGACCTTAATCTGTAGGTTCTCAAGAATGTTTGAACATGTTTCTGCAATTAAAAGATGAACTTGAAAACCTTTGCAGGAAATAAAATCATATATGCAGTGAATAAGTTGAATCTTGTTGCAAATAATTCTTTTTTGTCAAGAAAAGCAAGCCTAGATTCCCCACCATTTTTTGTACCAATAAACAAAAATTCATGATGGCAAAACTTCATATGGTTACCTTTAAATTTTTTTTCCAAGCAAGAATTCCTAATGACTCAGTTATTTGTTACTCTGCTGTTGTTGTAATGATAATTGTTCACTGTGCATAGGAAAGATTTTAAGGAAGCATCTGAATGGTGTGGTGCCTAGCTGAATTAGTACTAATCTTCTTATATCCTGGAAAGGAATGCATTTTGATGTGAGCCTGTGAACCAAACCTGAGTTGGTTCACAATTGAATTGCCTTTATTTTTCATGGCTTTAAAATTATTCTTCTTTTTGTGAAGCCATTGTGGTTTTAATCTGATATATGCTGGCATGCCATGTATGCA